GTAAAGTCTGCTCGATAATGTGGTGTAAACGTTTCTGCTTTGTATTTTCGTCCTGGATCGGATACCAAACGCCAGTTTTTTCCTGGCCTGGCACGGTTACTGTTGAGTGTCTGTATACATAAACAAAACAGCCGAGAGCTTTGTAAATTGTGTATATTTCGCTACTTTTATGCAAATTATGTTACAGAAAATTCTGAATTTTAAAAAAGTTGTTATATGACTGTCACAATATTTGCGCTATATTTTAAATACGTCAGTTATTCATTCAAATCGTGCTTTTTTATACAGTTTTAATTATTTTAAATAAATTGAATTATATGAAAATTCTTCTAGTATTATGATTCGGAATATATTCTCCGATATTTTACAATATTTTGAAGCCTTAACCAAGCCGAAAATCATGCTCAATTAGATTTATTTTCATGAGTGGTTCAACTCAGTTTCAAAGTGTTAAAAGCTCCTTAAAATGTGCACGATTTGCATCAGAGAGAGAAGAGATTAGAATATAACAAGAACAAGCCACAAACACTAAATTCTAGTGACACTTATTAACAATAACTAAAATATAAACGCAAATAAATTATTGTGAGATCAGTATATAAATAAGCAAAAAAGTAAACATCTACTCAGCTTTTAATTGTAGTTTTATTTTAATCATTTAGTTACGACTTGAAGCCATGCCTATATACTTTCATCATCAAGTCGCTTTCAAAAAGCTCATTAATCATCATTTTGTCACAATAATTTAATTGAGGCCCATCTCATTGCCTGTGTAGTTAGAATCATTTAAACTGAAGATATCTGTAAATCTCAAACTCATACTGTAAGCTGAGATTTTTTATATTATTCCCACCATATCTTTATGAAAAACTAGATATGGATCTGATTTGGGATATACGGAAAACATTTCCTTATGCGTACTTTTTATTGTTTTACTGCGAATTCTAGTAAATGACTGCTTTTGATAAAATCACTCAAAAAACAGCTTGAAAAATATATCTCAATTTATCCAAAAATGTCTTGTGCATTTCATGAAAAACTTTACAAATAAGAGAAAATTGAGTTCCAGCTATTTATCAAAACTCCCAAAAGATCTTCTGTTCTCTGAATGAACTCTAGATTTCTGTTCATAAACAACTTTATTAAATAAACAGTATCTACAACCTTATAAACATAAAAAAATCCTAACAAACGTGCGAAAAGTATATAATCAAATCCTGAAGCCCATTTGATTTGTTGTAAATGCGACTGCCTTCAATGTTAACCAATCATAACTGCCTTGAATTCTGAAACAGAATTAATGGAGAAAAATCTGAAACTTGACAAAAAATATAATTGCCATGATACACAGCTTTAACAGGTAAAGTAAATAGTAATGAATTACATATTAGTAACTAATTGCTCGTTATTTATTGATACCTACATGCAGCAGCCAGTGGTGAATTTATTATTCGAAAACCCGATAACAACTGAGATATGAATTTATTTAGATCACACGTATAAATCATGCCCCGAACTTGAACATATCAAAGTAAAGGCGCAATTTTTCAAAACCACGGTTTTTTCCTTGGTGCTAATTTTTCTTTGCAAATGTATTTATTTCTGGAACATTGTATACCGAAAGCTAAAGGTTTTTCTTAAAAAAATAAACGGAAAAACGTATGTGTTTTGTCATTGTTAATGTTATTTTTAATTTCGGGCTGTTGAGTAACTTGATACGTATCATAGCCATTTTCCCATGTAATTCGAGTTATTGAGATGTGATTATTTCATGCCAAATAACCCACGTACCTTCCCAGTCAACCGTTCCCGATCCATCAATATCAATTTCGTCAATCATGCTGTCCAGATCATCGTCAGTCAATTTTTCGTCAAGCTCTTGCAATATTTCGCGCAAAACTTCAATGGTAATAAATCCATTGCCTGTGTATTAATATGCTATTGAGGCTTGAAGTTTAGCAAGTAATTGTGATAATACCTTCTCGGTCATACATTCTGAATGCTCCCTTCAGCTCGGTTTGAATTGCGTCGGTATCTTCTTCTTCTTCGATTAGAAATCGGGCTGCTAAATTGGCAAATTCTTCAAAACTCACTTCTCCGTTTCCGTCTTCATCAATTTCTTCAATCACGTCCTATAATATAGAAACATTAGATTAACTGTTGAGGTTTCAGAATTGGCTTACTTCAAGTTCACTTGAATCGAGCTGCGTTCCAAGCATGTCCATAATAGTTCCGATCATTTCCACCGAAATGAAGCCTTTTTTGTCCACGTCAAATGCGTCGAAAGTGGACTTTAACACTAAACGATTTAATTAGCAGTGAAAGAAGAGTGGATTTGTCTGAATTTTGTTTGATATAAATATTACTTTTATTGTATGTTTTTGTGATTCAAGCTAAGTTTGAAAACTTATCACACCTAAATTGCACTCACTTAATAACTGCTCTTTATCCAGATCATCCTAGAAAAAAGAACTATTGTTATTTTTGTTCTCGTGCAATTAAGGTCAAAGTAAGGCAAATTCAATTGAGTATAAAAGAACATGAAACCCAGAATAATTCAAAACTTACCATATTTACAATGCCACATTCATCCACACTTTCTACGAAAGACATCACTTTTTGTAGAGAAAGCTTTCTAGTACTCATGTTTATTCTGACGCACTGCTGGAGGGGATCCGTATGGAAAGTACAACATAAAGCCGCTCAACTTCTTGGTTTTATTTACTATGATGGCATCCGAACATTGCCAATTATTTATTTGTGGATCCGAAGTGTTCTTTCGTGCCATTCTTGACCTTCGCGTACAGGCACGTATCAGTACGAACTGAGAAACGATTTGCAAAAACGATTGATTTGGCTATCATTAAATGAAGACAAAGCCTTTCCCCAAAATTTCTATTTTAAAATAAAACTTTTTAAATAAAAAGTCCATGAAATTAGCAAAATCCTCAGCCGCATGAAAACGCAGCGGTGTCTACAGTTTGTACACAACACTTCAGTAAGGCTTAGGTGTGTGATCTGCTCTTAATCAAAGTTGAGGTAACAAATTCAAATAGTGATTTCTACCGATCTTCGTTCCAGATCATATGGGGAACATCGGATAAATGTTTCCATCAAAATCAGCAGGTTTTATACGTTTATGAACAAAACTGCGGACCAGGAATCCACGATGTTTAGACCCTAATTCGTATAAAAACGTTACAATAAAAACACATTAAAAATTGATGTTGACGCGAATAGGAAAAGCGTGATTTTGTAACAGTAACTTAATATATTCYCATTTAAATAGAATTKAATTTARACTCAGCATTGCTWTGCTTCGTTGAAATTTGGCTCAGTTTATTAACCCAATAAMTGCTTGGATTAAGGAAGTAAGCSRAATTTTGACGAAATTGTATATATTTTAATTAATAAACCAATTTACCGGAGGATTTTCATGTTTATTGAGCCTGTCGGCGTAGAGTACTGATCACTTCTAGTTAAATCTATTGGTAAATTCAATGTTCAACGCCACAAACAGAAAACTTTGGCTCCTTTGTTTTATATTTAAGTAATTGAATTCCACGCTCTAACTTACCAAGTCGTAAATATTGTTAAAGCTCTCGCTGTCTATTAGAAAGCTGGTGAGAAGCTCGTCCCTTAATCCTCTCTGAAATTATTGAGTCAAACCCAAGAAATTCTCAGTAATTTGGGAACAGACGTAATTAGAAGTATTAATATTAACTTCAATTTTCACATTTTGCTTYAGGGCATCGATAGTTTTTCGTGTTTASTAATCGATTGTCAATTGACTGGAAAATTTTATGTTCAACATTTCTCTGAGTGCATACATCAATATAAAGCTGTGAAAACCATTTTCCATTCCAGCAAAATTGCTCCCAAAGTATGTTTTACCATCTAGAGAGCAAACCAGAACTGAATGCCTTGATGAATGGTTCATTCTTTGACGAAGATTTCATATGATGCCAAAGCAGAACTAAAATGGTTCTGAATGTGCAAAACCTTTTAAAGCAGCGTGGGTTTCGCTAGTAATCATTTCATTAACTCGGTTTTTGAATAAACGATACAGATTCTCAATGGCAGTATTCTGCAACTTTCGATTAAAGATCAATGTTTTTTCTGCAAAAATAGTGCGTACTAGCAGAATCATGCTTGGACGATGTACTTACTATTATTTTCAGTTTTGTCTTCTTTTGTCACTCTGTTACGCTTTTTGCAATGAGAATGTTGTTATTCGAGAAAATTCTTTGATTTTAGAAATTCTAAACACTTTTCCGTTTAGGTTTCTCAGTTCCAATGATATTTTAGCGACCAAATTAATTATTTGTTTGCTGCCACCCTATAGAAATGCATTTTCAATGACAACATCGATTGCGTTTACAAAATWAAGTGTTGACAAGTTCATTGGCAAGAAATTAAATCTTTTTGTKATGCTTCAAAGAATTTCTTACCTAATTAACAGGGTGCTGACAGACATAAGAGCTCTACCTATATATAGAGAATTAATCGAGCATGTTTWGGTTTACTTTGTGAACACAGTGAGTTAGTGAGTTACCGGTAGAATGGCCGATGAATCGCAAGTAATGTTTTTGATTTTTCGCTGTTTTAACAAAAMATTATCTTAATTTAATATGGGTTTGTTAATATTGAAAATTTTCGTTGTAGGAACAGAAGCCTGCGGCAAAAAAACCGCCACCCGTAAGTACGCTTTTTAGCTAATAATTCAGCGCTCTGTTATTTCAAATCATCTTAAAGCCATAATATTAAGAAAAACTATTTGGAATATGGAAAACTGTAGAGAAGCAAATCGAGGTCCAAAAACAACATGATGGGCAAAAATATCGAATACTGCCTTTTCATCATTAATTAGCAAAGTTCACCTGTATTTTTATAGCTGGTTTCTATTTAGGATGACCTTAAGAACCGATATAATGGCCACGAAAGCAGCTGCAATCGATAACAAATTGTCCTATGCCAATATCGGTGACGCGATTTAATGTCAATAATTATGACGCGGCTGGATATAATTTTATAAATATTTCTTTGCTCAAAACGGTATTAGTTGCTTTATTTGATCGGGCATCTAACAGTTAGCGGCGCTTTTCTTAAGATGGTAAGCGAATTCGATTCTTTTCTATACAAGCAACTGCGCTTAAAAAACTCTAAACTAATCTAATATAAAAATTCATACATTTTTCCGATTGGCTTATTAACTATTTGATTTATATTTTAGGCGGACACCAAAACCGTAAGTATAACATGTACCACTTGCTCCAAAGTAAGTATAAAACAAACCTACAAATGTTCAAATTTTAGGAAGTCGTATTAGATTATGAAGCCTTGAAACATCTGGATATCGCAAAAGATCAGCTCAAAAGTAAGTCAACGCCCGTATTTTTCCTAAAGTTTAACCCGGCTTGCTTGTTTTTCAGTGCTAAAGCAAATATTTGATTCGTTCGATTTGGAGAAGAAAGGCGAAATTGGCGTGGAAATGATTGGGCAAATCCTGGATATGTTGGGTCACCAACTCAACCCTGAAGAACTCGCTGTAAGTTCGGTTGTTCAAGTATTTCAATTCTGGTGCTAACAATTTTTGGAAATTAGAAAATTATTAAAGAAATTGATGAAGATGGCAACGGAGTGATGAGTTTTGAGGAGTTTGCACATCTGGCAGCTAGATTCCTGGTGGAAGAAGAGGAAGATGTAGAGGCCATCTTAAGAGAATTGAAAGATGCTTTCCGGTTATACGACAAAGAAGGTAACAAATCACTGTCAAAACCACCTTGATATACTTTAGGGTTGTTTCTTCAGGTTTGGGCTACATTACGGTTGATTTGCTTAGAGACATTCTGAAAGAGTTGGACGACAAACTCACCCCGGCAGATCTAAATGAAATGATTAAGGAAATTGATACTGATAATTCAGGAACTGTAGATTGGGAAGGTGCGTAGACGCAAAAATTCGAACGTTCGCACTGTTTGATATCTTGATTATTTGGTGAAGTGCATTCAATCTATTGCAAATGTATGCTGCATTTTAATGCTCATTTTATTTAAATGTTTTTCAGAATTTAAAGCCATGATGATTGGTTGAAAGCTCGCAAACGACTCTCAGGAAAATTAGGGTGCTGTCGCACTCTTCGTTTAAGTTAATCAGATGAACTATATTTTTTAAATTCGAAAATAAATATTTTTTGATATTCAATATGATGTTTTTTTAGCCTTTTGTGTTTTCTGGTAAACGTTTCTTATTAATGTGCTATTTCTATGGGTTTGCCAAGTACCCACGCTTCCCGCATTAACGAGTCCAGATAATTCATGTAGTTTAAAGAAAACACCCGAAAGAAAGTAAACAATAGTAGAAGCAAGGGCGGATCCAGCTTTCAAGTTAGGTCATGTAGTAGAGATTYAGTCAGGACAGGTTCAATTCAATTACAAKAATAAATGTAGTTAAAAGTTCGGCAAAAACTGATCCGAGAACTCSTGCAAAAATGAAACTTAGATTAGATCACTTTTGCACACACATCTAGCTGTTCAATAGAAATTGATTTTATGATTCAAGTTCGTATTCCATCGGAGYATTAAATGTGGATCTACACAACATATCCAGCTGAAAAGACTCCAAGTTTCACAAAAATCGAACAAAAGCCCGAGAGCATTTAATGGAAACACAGTTAAACAGTCAACATTAAAACAAACGGAAATCAAACTGCAAATGACTYATCCAAAGGGACGACGACCCTGCCTTAGTTCACTMTCTTCGGAAAGCGTTTTTTTGGAAAAGGTGATTAAGTTTGGTACGGGAAGCGAACAAAATATGKCGTCAGTCCWTTGTTCATGGGCGGCATATACAGGATGATTTGGTGCCAATACTAGATTACCAGTTATCTGCCCACTGAAAAGTTAGTTTTTCATTTGGAGTAGATCTTTATTGTTTGTTCAAGTGTGGTTGAGGTTTTGAGGGTTAATAATAAGAGAAAGCTGATGGGGCACCAGCTTGCAGAATGCTGGTAAACCTKAGTTATAATCTATCAATCCTTTAGCGTGAACTGAGTTTACTTTTTCGAGAAGCAACTTAAGTTGATGGCATTTTTAAACTATCTTTATTTKCTCTSTTCSTTTGAAATAATCACACTCCAGACTAAGTTTCTGTACTAAATATTCTTCTTATTTCGTTCCAGGTGGCACGATGCAGCTTTAGGTAAGTTTCGCATTACTTTGCCYCTGGTTGCCCGGTAGATGTAGAGCTTTWAGTCCCATATTATTGACATGTATTTCATCATATACTGCATGCCATATTTACTCGACAAAGAACGATGAGAGGCGTTCTGGATTATGCATTAAGTTTTTAAAATGTTCTCTCTGTAAAACTAATTTAACCTTAGATATTATACTTTTCATGAATGAGGTTCTCGACAGAAAACTCTTTTGATATGTAAAACTATTGACTTTTTGTGAACTACTTATACTGTTTCTTGTCTTGGCTGGTAATTTGCGTTATGATAGGCTTTTCTTTCTTTAAAATACACCCTAAATTGAACTGTTCTTGACTTTGAATTTATAACAGAAGTAAGTTTTTATTATAGAAATCCAGAGAATTTCGAACTAAATAATTAGGTAATTTTGCTTCTGTAAATTACCGCCAAGTGTTTGCAAAATTTCAATCATTTTCACTCAGTTTTTCAACATTAATCAGTCAGGTTTTCCGCAGTAATTTGTTTTTAACCCAAAACAAATCAAATCAAAATCTTTAAACTTTGCAAATTCAATGTGCTTAAAAAGTCGTAAAAATTAAGATATCAAAACTAGTGTTTTTCTGTTGTAAATTATTTTATTATTAGGGATTTTCAGCGGCCAGCAACGATCCGATATATTTCAGATTTTTTACGATCCAGCTCCCTTCAGGCAGAGTAACAGCCACTAAATGAGCTTTTTGAGAAAATATCGGGGTTTTAGGGAATTTTCAGCGGTCTGGATCCGGACAGCATTTCATTTTGTAGAAGTAGATGGCAACCAGGGTTGTAGTTTTTTTCATAGCATTTATTCTGCTCTCATATGCAGATTTGTGGATTTTAAGTGGCGAATTTTATGTTACGACTTTATCGAAATTATAGCGCACTTATTTTTGTATGCTCTAGAATTTTCTTCAGATAAAACTGGTAACTTTTTCAAGAGCTTCATTTCCATTCACTAGTAACAGCGTTTCTTAAAAGGTTCCGCATTTTTGTGAGGCAGCAGTGGAAAACAATACATTTTTATAGAAATTCGTACGTTTTTCAGCAAATTCCAACATTTTCAATTCCCCCCGATATTAACAGAGTTATGCAGAAAATTTCTATTTATAAAAAGCTGTTTTCCCAAAAAAATTCCCACAACTTTTGAAAAATAGTCTTCAATCTTGAAAAATGTTTTTGAATTTAGGAAAAAACGATTTTAAGACAACGTCACTCGCTGGAAGTAAGTTTCGCTTAAATTTTTTTCATTTGAAGTTCCCAAATTTTTTTTTTCACTAAAATTAACAAAGCAATAGAAGCAACCATAAAAACTAGAGGAAAACGGGATTATTCAATAGACAAAACAGTTTAGTGTCAGCATAGGGCTCTTTATTCGACATTTATAGATAGAATATTATATTTCAGAAACAATCTATAGTTATCTGGATAAATATATGACACTCATTACACAACAGCCATTGTTCTAACTGTATTGATATGAGAGCGATTAAATATGTCTGAATATAATATTTTGTTAGGGAAAATAGTAAAAAACAGAGGGCCGAGTGCCACAGTTGCGTTGACATGCCGATAACGACCTTTTTTGCTAATAGAAAATTTTAGAAAAATATTTTTCTTTTGAGCTTTAAACATCTCAACGCAACATTGTCTTGTGGTACCTCGGCCGGATATGTCTTGAAGTGGTCTGGCTGACTCCGTCACAAAGAACGGCTGCCTAAACATCATCAAATTACCAAAGAATCATGGTATATTAAAGTTTGCTTATATTAATAAAGATATGTTTAAATTTACCACAGATAGTGTAGATATAATAATATTTTACAATGATATGTATTATGTAAAATGTTGGCTATTCAGCACAAAAAATCAGTTGAATATAGTGCTCGACTACTAATAGGTGAGAGATTTTGGAGTTTTTTAGATTGCAATTATTTGGAAACGCGAAATTTTTAACGAAGTCTTGTTGATGTGATGCTTCTAACACTATGATGAACTACTTTTATTTTCTAATTTTAAGGTACGTGTAGAGCAAAAATTGCTGATTTTCAAAACTGTGATATTGAATTGGAACGCACATGATTTTTTTAAAAACTATCCACTACCACTGCCTTAAATGTACGCATGGTAGTGAAATTACTAATAATTATTCCAAGATTTTTCCTTACGACTACTGATATGAATTATCAAAGCTCACAATTTATTCCAATACAAATAGTTTCACTAACCTAAAGTTGTGGCCGCATTTCCAAAAACTTTCTATCCATCAAAGTCCTTGGAAATGCAAAAGATGGCACACTTGTTGATATGACTGGATGTAAAGGTTTTCCACCTATGATATGTATAGGCCTGATCTTCCATGAGAAAATCAATTATCTTTTTGTTAGTTTGGATGCGATTTTCAGCCAAGTATACTATTAACTAATACAAAAAAATAATTCTAACTACCGCTTATTACACATCAAGATATGAGAAGAACAACAACATCTAGATAGATCTAAGGACAGAGAGTTAGAGATTTACGTGCTATTAGTTTAGCTAGTGACAATTTTCCATTCAGAGCTTTCCCCACTTGCTTTGACGAGTGTTCAGATATAAATATGAGTTTGGTGGAATCGAAATATTAGGAGAAAAAGGGGAAAAATGCAAAAAATTCGCAAATTCTGTCCAAATGTTCATTGCGAGGCACAATCACTTGCGATGTTATTTTTTTATATCCCTACAATGAAAATGTGGCAGTATTGGTGCGAATGTTTTGCCGTTCAATTGATAATTTCCCTAAATGCGAAAGCCTCAAAATTCAAAACTACGCAAGCACTTACATGCTGTAGGGCTCTGTTTGCAATACAGTGAGGTGTCACTGTTTTTGCATAGTCATATATCTTCATTTCAATGAACTAGAACCTACATTCTCTAACTCTAATATTTAATCCTCTGATTTGGTATGGCAAGTGCCATTAGCTTGCCGCTGGAAATCTCTGATGTGTCCAAAACTCACTTGCTCAATCCCATCATTCTTTTTCCTTCTAATGTGAATTGTCATACCAAAATCTACTCACTACGGTCTCAAGAACATCTATAACCTAAATTCCTATATTACTTACCACATTTTAACTAGACACGAGCAAAAACTTAGCTAGAACCAAAAGGTTGAGAGCCACAAGGGCCTTGGATGCAGCTACTTGCGTGTCAGCGCTACTGTAAGCCGAATTCTCGTACGATTTAATCTTGCACTTCATTTTATCCAGAGGCAAACTCTGTAAACTGTATTCCCGATGCTCGTGCTGCATGGTACACACCGTCCTCTTCTTCTGCATCATTTCGTCGTCTTTGTCTTTCAGATTTCTCAGCCAGTTTTTATACCATTGCAGCTCGCAGTCGCACAGTAAAGGATTATCTGTAAAACAAAAAATTGAGAGAAAACACAGGGCTTTTTACGGGGTTTACCCATCAAATCCACCACCCGGAGAGTATCGAGTATTGGTTCCATTACATCCTCCGGCACATGCATCAACTTGTTGTTTTGCAGATTTAGAGTTTCCAATGAATTCAGGTTTTCGAAAATCATGCCACTTAGCGAACGGATGCTGTAAAAGGCAAGTAATATTGACGGATTCTCTTCTCCACTGTTTTGCAACTTATTATTATGAAACTCAGTGCCAGTTAATTTTACTTTTTGTGTCAATTGAGCTGACTTGCCCGTACTTAAAATTGAAACAGAACTTACTCATTCTTCTGTAAATTAAGGAACGTAATCGAATCTCCATATCCTGCAAAAGCATCTTCGGATATAAATGAAATATTGTTGGACCTCAAGTCCAAATGACGCAAACGATGCAGGCGCTTAAGAGCCTCTGTTGGAATGGTGTGAATGTTGTTGTCCCCAAGTCGCAGATATTGCAGGTTTTCTGCGAATAATACAATTTTTCTCTTATTAAGTGCATTAACTGGACGGTATTGTGCGAAGCGAGAT